CAGGGTATCTCCTAGTCGAGCAGTCTCGACTAGAGTCTTCTTACTTGTTTTTAATCAAAAATGTAAAATAAGAAATACTAATACTTATATTTGATTTTTCTATTATACTGTTAAAATCTAATTTAATATTTTTAAGGCAAATTTAAGAAAAACTAAAACTTTCTTAACAATAAAAAATAATATTTTTTAAGCTTTAATTCAAAAATTTTATAAACATTTACATATGGATAAAATTATACTTTAAAAATGTTCAACATATATGTATATTATAATAATAATTAATTTGAAGCTCATTTATATAAACATATGTACAAAATATAAGATGTGGTAAAAAAACCAAATTCAACCCAATTCGGATTCAAAAATGTTTATAATTCCTTACTCCAACATTTTTATAAAATTCAGATGGATAAAAATGTGAAAAATCTATATAGACTATAAATGATATTGGTGCGAGATGTATGTTATATTATAAACCCCTATATAGAGCATACATAGACCGCTTAACAACCTTGGAAAAATTGTAGTGATCAACCTTAAACTACTCCAACTTTTGTAGTCCATCCATTCATATTTACATATTTACAATCTACAAAGCCTATATACCCACTATAAGCAGTGCATACACATAACTACATACATGTGTACATACTTATATATGCTCCATCTATATCATTAGTTCAACTGCCAATGCTCTGTTGTTGTTGTTGCTGTTGTAGTTGTTGTTTTAAGCTATCGTTTAACACTTACCCCCACTCCGGGCAGCTTGACGCAGACATGGAACATCTGACACTGCGTCTCAGGATCGGCATAGTAGCCGCCAAGTATCTTGTCGCGGCAGGTGAACTGCGTCTTGGGCATATTCTGCAGACTGTAGGTGGGCCAGGGCCTGCCAAAGACATCCTCGTCCTCGTCCAGCAGCTGGGCCTGCCCCAACACTTGGCCGCACAGCAGGGCCATTGCGGTGGCTGCAAAGATCAACGAGACGAAAACAAAACAAAATCGTGAGCTTTTCGAACACAAATTGGAAACTCAAGTGGTGCAACCGCCGGAGCAACCACTGGCTGCCAGCTCGGTTGCCCCGCTGACCTTCATCTTAATGTGGCTCGCGCACTCGCAACACTTTCGCTTGCAAGACGAGCCACATGATTTATGCGTGTATCTGAGTAGTGTATGTCTGTGTGTGTGTGTGTGTGCGTGTATGTAACTGATGCTCAAGGCTGGCCAAGTTCTGTGTGCGTGTGTTGTTTTTGTAAGCTTTTGCTTTTGTTTTTATTTGACAATTGATGGCTTTTTGATACAGAAAGACGTCATTACGATTCAAAACCGCAAATTCCCACAGCGCGCTGTTGGTGTATTTTGTACACTTGTGTCAATTCAGCTACCAAATTGGCCACAAATCCACAACAACAACAAAAATCATCTATATGAATCCCAATATGAGGGTCAGACAATTAAAATGTCATGTCAATCAAATGTTATGGATTACCTATGTCAGGCAACATGGGAGTACATGATACATTAAAAGCCACTTACATATGTGAAATGTTTAATTACCATCGAATGGCACTGTTGCTAGACTTTTGGCAGGCACAACTATCAATCAATTACTATGGACTCTACTCTAATAGAGACAAATTCCAACATGACATACTAAAAGCTACATCCAAATCCAAGTTGCCTTGACATTTTTTTTTTTTTTGGCTGGCACTGTGGTTGCAGCTCTTGCAGGCACTGTTATGGTTAGTTTACTTTAAAGTTTCTACATCTCACACTAAACGCCACTTGCACATATAAAATGCCAAGTAATGTCATGCTTACATGTTGACTTTAAGGTGACTCGACTCTTTGCAGGCACTATTCCCATTTAAATGTTATAGATCATATCCTAGTTAATGTAAGTATATGCTGCATTAAAAGCTACTGTGGCATTTGATACGCTCAAAATCCTCTTATGTATACTGCAGGTGGACTTTTTACAGGCACTATATATAGTAGTATATTATTATCTACTTCTTTAAAAAGCTCTTTTATTACATTCTAGTAGCTGTTAGTTTAACAAGCAATTTTACGTACGCTGAGCTTAATTATATTAGGGATTTTTTTTTTTTAGTTATTGCCGTACTTTTTGCATGTACTGTTTTCAATTAATTCCTATGAATCCTTATGCTATTATATAAATATAAGCACTAAATTAATACAATTTACTTTAAATATCTTTTTATTGGGCGTGTTGTCTGATTTTTTGCAGTAACTGTTGTCAATAAAATATTGAAGACCTCACCTAGGGAGACTTATTTTACTATATAAAAGATCATTAAAAAAGTAGTATTCTAATTTGCATTACAAACTTTACTTGCCCCTGTTGCCAGTCGTTTAGCAGCCACTGTTCCTGTATTAAGCATAACTCCTCTGTGAATCTATTCTTATAACTCAGAGTGCAAACCATCTAAATGCTATTGCCACATGTGCCACACTTAATTAGCAAGACGACTTTTGGCCGGCACTGTTAATAGACTTTTTGCAGGCACTGTTCTGACAGAGTGGAATGGCAAACGGAAGATGCGCTCGCCGCAATTAAAGCAATTGCAATTTGAAATTGCAGAACCAATGCAAATCGCAAATCGCCTTGGCTCAAATTGCAGTCAAATTCGTTAGCTGGAGGATTGCGCAATCATCGTTTGGTGTATATAACAGGCATTGAGAGAGGGACGGAACGAGTGGGGGTGAGAAGAGGAGAGGGAGAAAGACCTGGGCTTTGAAGATTCGCATTGAATTCAAAGTGAATTTCATTTTCAATTCCACAAACTTTTTCCCCAGACATTTGAAATCTTTGGCTTTGTGAACTATGACTGGGCAGCAGCAACTCCGGGAATTGTGGTTTCTGTTGGCCCATCTCTTTTGTTCAACTCGAGCTCAGGCGAAACCAATTTGAATCCCAGACCCAGACAGCTTCCGTGGGGCGTCATCTCTACCACTTAATGATCATTCAAACGATTTACATGCGCATATAATTATTTCTGACCCAATATTCATTTAAGGCAAATTATTTATCTTACCTATTGGCCGCGTCTTTGTTGTTTTTGCCAAAAATTCATAACTGATTGCATTTTATGCTTTTTTTAGGGGCGACTCGGGTAATATTTGTAGAAATTCCCATAAACTGATGCTCAGTTACGTTAATGTGCAGACCTTGAGTCCATGCATAATTTCCTCTTATGAAAGATTAAAGAGCCAAAGCCAGCCCCAGCTAATGATCATGCGAATTAATTATCGCGAGGAGATGAGCTCCGCTTGATGTGATTGTTGGAATGCGTAATTAAAGCCACTGAGAGAGAAGGTCAATACAATACATGCCCAATGAGCTAACGTTCCAAATGATCTCTGTCATCAGGAAGCGATTTCAATGAGTCTTCAAATGTGTTCTGTGTCTTTAATGTGCGGGGGAAGTTTAGGTAAGCCGTAATGACTGGCTGAATTACCTGACGAGCTACTTTTTGTTACACTTTTTAGGGTCTATTAAAAATCTATTTATCAATTTTTTTTTTCACATAAAAAGTTAACTATTCTTTAAGGTCATGAAATAAATTTTTTGAAATTATTGCAATGAAGCTTAAGCTCTTATTAAAGATAAATGGTAGAATTTCAACCATATTTTATAAATTACTAATTATTTATATACAGATACGCATATTAATTAGTTGGTTTATATAAAATTAAAATCATATACAATTTCAAAATTTTAAAGCATTTAAAAAAAAATATACGTATATTAATTTTAAAACAAAAATTCTAAAAAGAATAAGAAAGAAAGAAAATTTAACGAGGCCTCCCAATTCCCTACAACTACTTAACTCAATTTTTCCTTCAATACTTTTTATTTTTAAACATAAAAACTTGTGAATATTTATAATTGTTTTCTATTTTTAAAATATAATAGTCATTAGAAAATCATTTGAATTATGTGTTTATTTAAAATATTAAATTTGTTTTATTATGTTAACCATTTGGATTAGATAACTAAATTATCATTTAATTGATTTTAAGTCAACAACAAATAAGAAAACAATAAAAATAAAAGTTAAGAACTTCTCTATGTTTCTAGAACAATAACTAAGAATATAATTTTGATATTTTCATTCTGCAGCGTTTTTTTCGGTTTTTATAATTGAATATAAGCCACTGAATATTTGTAAATAAATATATACAGTCGAGTCTCGATAATTTGTAGCCCTCTAAATCATAATTCGCGATAATTCGTAATAAATTCCTTCCCCTTGAAAAAATGCGTTCTCGATAATTCTCGAGAATTTCTGTCCAAATAAAAAAAAAATCTGATAGCTTTGCCGTTAAAAAAACAACATTTTCCTAAAAACCTTGCTAACTTAAAGGATTTGAAATTATTAAAATATTTGCTAATTATATAAAAAAAAAATAAAAAAAATATTTTTTGTATCTAAGTTTGTCTCTTAAATAGATTATTTCCAGCAACTCACCCAGTAGAAGTGCGCTCATTTGATATTTAATAGTCGACATGGCGCTTTTCGTAGTTAATTAATCCAAAATCGGGGCGTATATCCACAGCCGAAAGCGTAATTTATAATATCCAAAGTTAGGAGGGGGAATTATCCGAAGTGCCTAAGCTGCTAGTTAAAGTAGATATTCACATGGAATGCACTGTAAACAGATAACAAACACAACACGCAGAAAGATCATATAAATACGATTATTACAAAACGCACAATTATGTTTTAAAAGCTTTTTGTATTTGCTTTACGGTTTTTATGCTATTCATGTATTCTTTTTTTTCGGAAAATTAACACAAAATCATCGAGCGATTCATTTTCATTATGTGAAACTGTTTGTCATGCCAGCGCTCAACTAGAAAATAAGCAAAAAATGCCGACAAAGTGTTCAAATCGAAAATTCTGCTATTTCAGTTTCTTGTCGGCGGCTGCCGCTTCTTCTTCTTCTTCTTTTTCTTCTTTTTCTTCTTTTTCTTTTGCTTCGAACCGAGCTCGTATGTAAATGCGTAAAAATGTGTTTCGCAAGGTGCGAAAACTACGGAAAAGCCATTTAGAATGTGCAGCGAAACGTTGCAGACGTCTTTGCCAGTTGACTGGGCAAACAGGCAGACTAACAAAAAGCACTCAGTCACTGACAGTCACTAACAGTCACAGTCACAGTGACAGTGACAGTCACTGTTTGTGTATTTTAACACAACAGTTGAACTACGAACCGCACGAGACGAGCCAACGACGAGGCGCAATGTTGCGCGTTTTGCGACTTTATCGTTTACGTTGTCGAAGCGAAATGATTTCTGAAAGCGAAAGGAAAAACCACTTGGGCCCCATCAGCAGAAGCAGCCAAGGCAGCCAAGGCAGAGGCAGCAGCAACAGTGTCGGCAGCAGCAACGTCGACAGCAGCAGCGACGTCTCAGCTGGCAGCATAGAAGCTGCTGCTTCGGCTTTGGCCAAGCTTCGAGTCTGGCTGGGCGCATGTGTCGCCTGCTTAACGCACATTACGCATACGCACCGTGTGACATGTTGTTTGCATTATTGTTGCAGTTGCATTTTGGCATCGTTTGTCACTCACTTACGTCAGCTGACGGCAGCCACAGGGCCACATCACCAACAGCAGCAGCAGCAGCAGCAGCAGCAGCAGCAGCATCAATTCATGCTTATGACCGCACTCCCACCGCAAGACGCCTGCAATTACATGTACAGAAAATGTTTGTTTGGCTTGCAACTGAAGCTGAGGCTGAGGCTGAGGCTGAAGCGTCGGTTGCATCTTCCGCTGGTATTATGTCATAGTTAGTCATGGCGCGGCGCGGCATTGTCATTTACTCTTGCTGCTGCGACGACTGCTGCTGCTGTTGCTGCTTGTGTCGGGGCAAAAGTCGCGCTGCCTCTGCCGCTGCCGCTGCTGCTTCGGCTGCTGCTGCTGCCTCTCGGCAATCCGGTTCGCGTATATGGGTAAGTAGTGTGGGGAATGCGCGGCATTTGTTGCAGTGTGGGAATTTGCACGCCTGCAGATCTAGCAGAGATCTCCGCTTACTGGGCGTTGCTATTTAAAAAACATTTTTGTTTGCCGTTTCTGATCTGGCCAACAGAAATGAGACAAAATAGAGGCGGCTCGACGCCTAATGTCCATCACCGTGTGGCCCTAAACTGACAGCTTGGCATTTCAAAGTTGAGGTTGGCTGCCGGAAAAACAACAAAGCAAAGCAGCTGCAGCTGAAAGCAAACAAACAGACGACAACAAAAAATGTCAACTGAAGACGAGCCTGAGTTGACTGGTTGTTGACTTGCAGCAGCCTCGTTTGGCTGCGGGCATTAGCCATCCTATGTGCTGCGCCTGCAACGGGCTTCCCATCAATATTTTGTTGTTGTTTCTGTCTAATTTCTCGGCTCATGTTCAGAGTTCAGCTGCAATGATTGTGTAACGGCTTTTCGGCAGGTCGGGCAGAGAGGGCTAGAAATGGAAAAACATAATAAATGTTCAATTTATTTTGCTTGGCCTACGTTTTGTGTCATCCCCGGCAAAGAAAGGCTATGACTCACGCGATGCTGTTGGCCAACTGCGTGGGAAAGGCTAATAACTAGGAAGTGTCCAGACGGCTTGACGGCCAGACGGCCCGACGGCTAGGCTAAACAAAATAAAACAAAACAAAATCAACAATCAAATGCAAAGCGAGCGCCAAACAAAAGACTTAAGGCACGAACTCGCCTCGAGTTTCTTTTCGCATTACACAGCAGCCCAGGCACAATTCTAATTAGCGCCCGCTTTCAATTAAATACACATCAATTTGAATGGCCTCCGCCTGGCTGACATTGATAAATGCGCCACGACTTTGCTGTACCGATGGCAGCTGGTAAAAGGGTCTTACAGCAACTCGTTAAGAATTCCAATGCACGTAAATTATTTAATATTTCTTTTTCCATTTTCTTCTTCTTTTTTTTTTTTTGAGGGGTTTTTATGTATTAATATTATTATTTTGGTTGTGTGTGATTATATAAGATGCTTGGCTGGTTGAATGCAGTAAAAGTGCCGAAAGCATTTGCACAATGTGTGGGAGCCAATGCAAAATGCATGCAGACATTCACCAGCAGCAACTGCAGCAGCAACCACAGCAACAGCAGCAGCAACAGCAGCAAGAGTAAATTTCAATTAAGCTGAAGATGCGCGTCTGGCATTTGAGAAAAAAATAATGCCAAAAAGTGAGCATCAGGCCAAACCAAACGAGTCAAAAGCAGAAATTGGGAATGGGGCTGCTTAGGAGCTTGGGAGCTGCATGGCTGGGCATTTCAATTTCAATTGGAATTGCTTGTCGGAGCCCATTGAGTAATTGTGCAGCAATGAGCATAGGCATGTGGCGGCTGGCTGCCAGCAGATTTTCCGTTGATAAAGTGGAAAACCTCATAATAAGAAATCACATACATACACTCACACGCTGCGCAGCCAGATTTGCTGGCAACATTTCGCATGGGCTGCGATTCGGTACGCCTGCACGTGGCAAATGCAGTCGCAGCTGTGCAATTTACAGTTTATGATGCGACAGATGCTTGCGAAATATGGACGGCTCAGGCGCAGGATTGGGTCAGCCAGACAGTTGTGCGGTCAGTCAGTCAGTCAGTCAGCCAACGAGTCGGTCGGTCGGCTAATTTGAAAGTTAGCGAAACGCATTGCCAAATGGATTTACAGATGCGCGTTTTATGCGAGCAATTAAAACGAAAGACTTAGGCAACGAACTTGTTCGTCCAGCTACTGTCAACTTAAGCTCTGCACTCATAAACTGCCCAAACTCCAGGCAGCTCTATAAATATCTACAAGTCTCTAAATATATATGTGTATATACATATTATATATTGATGCTCAGTTGATGCTGCCTGCATTTGCATTTGCATAAAATGCGCATTAGGCAGCACCCCCGCCATTAGGCGCAACTTGTGCCGAAATCTTTCCAAGCCGAAACGTGAGAAAATGTTATAGACATTGCAGTTGCTAAGCTCGCTCAAATAACAACAAAATACATAACAACAACAAAAATGTATATATATATAAATATATGTATATATATGTATTGCAAATTATGGGAATGGCAAACGGCAAAAGGTGCTGCCTGGCAGCTGATTTCGCCAAGAATCCGGCGCGACGTGGTGCGACGCGCAGTCTTGCAGATGCTGCAGCGACACCCAGCAGATTGTTGTTGTTGTTATTGTTGTTGTGCTATCTGTGACTAATTGCATAGCCATACAAATGCATTTTTCGTAATTATTTGCAACAATGTTGGAATATAAATACATACAATATACATATATATATGTATATGCATATGTGTGTGCATGTGCATGGAATTATTCATTGTAATCATGTTAATGAGCTTTCAGTCTTTTGCCGCTGAGCATTGTTCATGCTGCTGCTGTTGCTGCTGCTGCTGCTGTTGCTGCTGTGACCCAGCAGCCAACTGCAACTGTCATTTCCTCTAGACTCAGCATCAGCATCACTAAATGCCAACTGACCAGGATGTGCCAAATTATGCGCATTTATTAAGCCAACTTTTCTTGGCTTATGTTAATTCAATTAAACGCCATTTGCTGTAACGGTTTGGTTTTTTTTTGTCACCCAGTTGTTGCTGTTGACTGAACTCTGCTCCCTTCGGCTTGGTGTCTTCTTCAATTGCTTTGCATTTGCCGCGGGCATAAAGTCAGAAAAACGTTTTTAAGGTGCGCCACTTGCTGAACGTTTGTTCAGCCGCAGCCACAGCAGCAGCAGCAGCAACAACAGCAACAACAACAACAAACTCTCGTTTGTTGATTTATGCGTTTTGCAGCATTTAAATTGGCATTTATGTCAAATGGCGGCAAGCTATATTTTTGCTTTTGTTTAATGCATTTCGCTTTATTTGTTTTATAAGCGTCCTTGAGCACGATCGTAAACCTCTCTGCAGCATCGACATTTTTCCAGCAGCATCCAACAAGCCCTCAGCACTCGGCTCTCAGCAGTTCCCAGGCATTGTAGTGCATGCTATATATATGTATGTATGTATTTTATATATACATTTTTTGTTTATTATTTTCTGACAGCAACATTTTTTCTTACTGAACGCTTTTTAATCACTCGCCATTTTTTTTATTATTATTATATTATTATTTCTGTTTATCTAACATGAATCTATGCAAACAATTTTTGTTTTGTGTGAAACCTTCGAATTACGTTTCGTCGCGTAATTTGTCATTTTCACAAATTAAAAAAAAAAAAAAATTAAATTTTTATTGTTATTTAGTCGAGCTGTATTTGAGATCTCGGCCTAAGCTGCAAGAGTTTGTCAATTTGTATAATCATCTCTTGTCATGTAAACAACTTTATTACATTACGTATACGACACGCTAACGAGAGAGACTGTCGCACTCTCGCCTGAATTTGCGAATATTACAGAGCAGAGGAATGTCTAGATACGAGTAGAGCAATATCGAGAAATACATTCTGATGTTGCTCTTAATTTGATTTGCCTAACTGCACTTAATCTACGTTTGCTATAGGCCAACGTGCATACGGATATGAGCTTCAACTTTGGCATTTGATTTGTATCGATAGAAAAGAAACGTTGTAGCATTGAGCATAAGAAGTGATCTAGGTAAGGCGAGATCAAGTTTATGAAACTAAACAGATTTCCTCCTTAATGAATAAGCAGATAAGCATACAAAACTTCAATTAGCATGACGATGCGAATCAAGAAATAAACTTGAATATTATTTTCTAATTTAAATGAAATTATGCAACTATATATACAATTATACGAATTATTATAAAAATCAATTTAATACATACAAATGTAGCTGTTTAATAGCTAAACATGTTCTACATAAAAGAGTGCACGTGAATTACACTGCATCAACTTGCTGTCAATAAAGACGACGAGCTGAGGCGCTTTTTGGTCGTGTCACGAGCCCAATTCTAGTTTTTGCCCGCAGCTAGCTCCATAGATTTCCCAGAACAGCTGAAAATGCTAAACAACTTCCAAAGAAGCGATACAAAGTACTACAAAAATAGTAGCTGGGTATGCACGACTATGAGATACCCTGAAAAGGGTAATTTAGTAAGGGAATGTGAAGAGAAATGTGTATTATGGTGGAATATTTTACTGATAAGTAAACTTGAGAGTTGCTCTAAGCACGATACGAGTCTTCAAAGAGTCGAGCTGTAACGGAGGCATCGATTTAATAGAAGTAAAAACAAAATGAGGGAAAACCAACTTTTTGAGGGCGAACATACTTCTGACATATTCAAAAAATTTTA